CCCCGGATACTCGTAAATACCAAATCCCGGATACAAATCTCATAGTTAAATAACCGAGCCTCCCGGATCCGAATCCAAATCTCTCGATTTTCCCGGGTATCCGACCCGTGCCCACCCCTAAAGTCCACTATCATATTCCATTTTTATATGATGGTCCACTGTATTTAATGATGGAGATTTTACATGCACTTTTCAGAATCCAATTTCGTGAAATCTTTTGAAAGTAAACGAGAATTTAATGGGGACGAGCTGGATGGAGGGGTAGATTTTGAGGCAATAAATAGTGGGGAGAATTATGACGTTGCAATTAATACTCAGAAGGCATGCATGTTTTATTTTCATATAAATATTTATACTACTCCTAATAATAATAATAATAATAATAATAATAATAATTGCAAGCCCATTCTATCTCCTTATGGGAGTTTGCTCCTGAGATAATAACTATAAATTGTTACAAAAAATATGTTTTAATTAAAAAAATAGTTGGTATTCGGACAAAAAATGTCACAAGAATAAAGGAGATTTTGCGGGTCGTGGGAGTGATGAGTGCGACATATCAGTCGACAGAAGGGAAAGTGTGTTTAATTCCAAACTCTAAGCTGTAATATTTTTTATTTTTTATTTATCATTATTGACTATTTCAAAGGTCAAAAAAAGAAATGAAAAGGATTTACATTCATATTTATTTTTATCTACAGTGTCCTGGTAATTTAGGTCAAAAGGTTGAAACTTTATTTTTACTTATATATATATATATTATTATTATTATTTTTGTACGAAGCCTAGGATTCTGCAGTCCACTGCCTTCTGGTGGAGTAATTGGACCCATCAAGTGGAAGTTGCCTCACGAAAATTGTTAGATTTAACATGAGTATCGACCGTGTTATAGTAAATAATGTTTTGACAAAAGTCATGGTATATTTTTTTTTTATTCAGAATCATAATTATTTTCCTATTCGCAGACAAATAGTTTAAGAAAGCTCGAATTTATCTTTTCGTTACAAAAATTTAAGATCCAACTATATTTTCGTTTTGGTGGACCTAAGGTCTAATTCGCATACACATATATAAAACGTTATAATCTAATATAAACCCGTAACATATATATATATATATATGTATTGAAACTGACAAGGTAATAAAATTGGGTCTTATTTTGTTGTTTCCTATATCTTTTTATAATATTTCAATAAATATCATTTTAGATTTTTTCTCATCCTTGTTAAATTATATTATCATTAATATCCTATTAAAAAAACGATATCTATTAAATAATAAAAAATACTTTATAAAATTATATCTATTTAGAAACTCCTGAGTATAATTTTAAAAAATGAAACAGAAAACGGAACGGTAGGCGGAAAGGCGACACCCGTTGAAAAGAGAGAATTTTTTGGTAAAGAAACCAAAAAGGATTTACCACAAAATATGCTCCAAAAACTCTTCGTTTCTCTTTGTGGGTTTGAAACCACGATAACTCACTTGTCGATTCCTTTTGTTTCCTTGTTTGTATTCCCCGAGGCCCTCGGTTTTCTCTCTCTCCGCTCCTTCCTCGTTTTGCTACAGCGACATCTTAGATCTTCTCTCTCTTGATTCTTCTTCTACTGTTTCGATCTGTTCATGTTGGGTTGTTTGCTGTTGTATGTTGTTAGATCTTGGTCTTTTCAAATCCGAATCCAATCGATTCATTTCATATTCGATCGAACCCATCTCTCTCTCTCTCTCTCTCTCTCTCTCTCTTTTCAGTTTTCAAGACGATTTGTTCTGTCGTTCGATTTCTCCGTATCTCCATGTAGGATCTAGGGTTTTTTTTTTTTTTTTAATTTGTGTTCATAACTTTCTCTTCAGAAGTCTACATCAACCATCATAAATAGAGCCCATCTGCCTCTCTTTCTCTCTCTATGCCATAAATTTCCGACCTTTAATTCTCTCTCTCACATCCGCCATATAAACCCCGTATTGTAGTCCGTGTCCTTTGGCTTGTCTTTTGACCTTTATCCTCCTTACGTTTCTTCTCTTTTGAAGCGGGTGAGGAATACATGCGGGGGGAGAGGAAAAAAGGTTTGGGTACCTTTAAAAGATTTATCTTTTTTCATGCGGGTTTGACAAAGGGCTCCTTACAGGTTTCTTTGGCATTCTGTCCACCTCCCTATGCATATATTTGTGTATGTAACTCCATTTGTGTGTATATATGTGTGAGAGGGAGGTGGGCATACTGCCAATAGAGTTCTGTTAGGGTTTCTTTGCAAAACCCTCATGATATACACGTGATTCTCCATCACAAATCATATCTCTTGCACATGATGATGACGACGATCAAGATCGACCAGATGTACGGTGATGAACATTAAGGTACTGAGAACAAAGTTAAGATGAGAAAAGGGTTTTTTTCTGACCCACTTTTTGTTTGTGGTTTTTTTCTGTCGAAGGAATCTCATGATTTTTTGTGATCGTTACTTTCTATTGATCCATGTTTTTGTCGATTTGTCTCTTTGATCTCTAAAGCTCATCACATTTCTTGTGTTGAAACTCTATAACGCGATATGGGCTAGTAGTTAATTAGAAGGATATTGCAGATCATGTTTAGTTGAAAGACATGCCAATGCGAAACCCTAGTTTCTCTTATAACTTGTTTATTACTAGATCTTGATATAATGAAATGAGATTTCGATCGTTTTGCAATGGCAATGACTTTGTATAGGGTTTTCAAAGTAATGGCGTTTTGAGCCTCTTTCGTCTTCAAGAGAAAAAGTTTAATACCGCAAAAGGAAGAGGACCCATAACACGATAAAGACAAGTGAGATTCAAATGACATGATAAAATGGAAATAATTGAATTTCTTCTAATCCAACAAACATTACTATAATTATGGTAAGACGATGCATGTGTATAAGGTTCATGTGTATAGTCGGTATTATAACGCCTTCTCTCCTAGAGGATTTGAACATCATTTAAAGCATAGCGTTGGTGTTCTTTGTAGTTGTGAGTTTTCTCAGCCTCTTATGGCCATTTTTGTAAATTGTGCGAGTTTTTTTGTTGCAGAAAGTATAATTTTACCGATCGGTTACACTCATATCTTTAATTTAATTTAAAACCAATGTGAACCGTTACATTTGGCCTTTGCATGGTATTTTTAGGTGGACTGCATCATTTTTCCTTGTGATTCCATCTCTTTATACACACACACACATATATATATATATACATATACGCTAATACGAATAAAGTGGTTAATCTTTGACAGATGTCATAATTTGCGTGATTTGGTCTAATGTATACGGCTTATCTTGAACTTATTATTAATTAATGGGGTAAATATACGTAGGTTATGCATTGTCCCCTACGAATTAGGGCACGTAGACTCGTATGTTTGAATACGTTTCTTACATGACCTTCAGCGTTAGCCTCATGATTGGAACTCTGACACTTACCATTAAAGACTCGCTTCCTCCAATGTCCACGCGCGTGATCTGGCGCGTGTAGCTAATTCGCCTGGAGCGGTATCAGCGGCGCGTGGGGATGTGACACTGACTTTGCGCCGTTGTTCGTCTCACGCTCTTCGCCGTTTTGTCTGTGGGTCAAAGTTTGTGTATTGATTTTTCCCTTTTTTGTTCGGTCAATTTCGTAATAATAACATTTCTTCAGGGCAGGGTCCCCTAGGGGTTACCTATATTATCATTTGTCTTAAATTTGTGTAATCAGGTGTGTAGAATGAAATATATTTTAAAATATTTTTATTTAATTATATTGTTTTTTTTATCAACTAAGTGCATTGAATGCAAATACTAAGCTCCATTATTCTCGTGTTCATTTGGATTCTTTGTTATAAACATTTGTTTTGCAGTCCCGATGAGATAACGTGCCGTAATGTGTTATCAATCATGACGTTCTACGTATTGTCATGTTTTGGAAATGAGAAAATAATACTCTCGTTTTATATATTTTTTAAAAAGGGTTTTGCGATTCTTTATAAATGGTTCACTGCCTTTGCAATTAATTAACTACATGTTTTAGTTTGGTCCTTTTGAGTTTTTTGTTTTGTTTTGACATATTTATGTAATGAATGAATGAATATTGTTTTAAATCCAAAACCGTAAAAATAAAAATTCGAATCTTGTACATTATACATGAGAAAACGTTAGAGATCAAATCACGGGTCTACTGATGTCCATCTCGTTATTGGAGTTTAATACATTATTTTTATGAATGGATGATATGTAAAAAAAAAAAAATTAAGCAATTTATAATTAAATAAACTTGTTGGGCTTGACATCAATTGGATTCAAGTTTCATTGCAGCCCAATTACATATTGGGCTTCTCTTTTTATAAATGGGCTTTGGGCCGCAATCTATAAGAGAATTTTCTCATTTGACTTTTTATCGAATCTATCAACATAGTTTCAACATAATTCTATTGCTTTAAACTTCGAATCACATAGAGAGGGAAAAAAACCCACAATAGCGAAATGATGGAATCTTATTAGTTATAATAAAAGATACATTCAAAGAAATATGCAATTCAATTTTAATAGAAAACACAATGGAAACATTAGAAGAAAATACATATAGGCATGATCTTGGTGTAGGTACAGATGTTAGATTTTATCGGAATTGTGTGTTGGTAATAAGAGATATTTTGTTATATAAATATATAAATAATTATATTTTTCTGGCCTCCAAATTTTGATTTGTTTTTATTCCATTTGTGTTTTTTTTACTTCATATTGTGTGATGATAAACATTTTTTTTATATGTGGTGGGGTATATGTTTTGAATTTCCGTTATGTTTTTATTCGGCTATTTTTTATTTTGATTTTTAAAAAACTATATATAATAGTTTTGAATTTTGTAAAACAAAATAAAACTCCTTGAAAAGTGGAAAAGGACAAACACCAAATCTAAAAAAGAAAAAGAAAAAAGAAAATCCAAGAAAGAGAAGAACATCGCAACATATCTAAAAATGTCGACAGAATCACGAAACCATATCTCATTCCTTCGGAAGAAGAGGAAGAGCGAAGAAAGAGAGAGAGAATGTTCAAAGGCCGTGCACCTCACGCGCTCTCTCGGTCTCTTCTTTTCTTCACGCTCCCTATAAATACTCGACGCTCATCCTCTCTCTCCCCTCTCCCTCGGCCAAGAACCATCCTTCTTCTCTCACCCAACAACAACAATTACAACTCCGCTTCTGGCTCTCGTCGTCGTTGTTGGTCTTATTCCTCTTCCTCGATCATGGGATCCCTGTCGGCTTCCGATGAACGGATGCAGTACCCGGCGGCGCGGCGGGACGACTCCATCGTCGACGACTATCATGGCGTCAAGGTCGCCGATCCGTACCGGTGGTAAGATTTCGTCTCGAGCCGTAATCTCTGTTGTTCTTAGGTTTTTTTGTGGTGGAAAGGTGATGATTTCCTTTGACTAGAGCCCCCCTCGATTTTGAGTTTTCTGCATTGCGGGTTGACTTGATGATTGACTCGGACAAATCCCGGGTTCGTTCGAATTCGTCATAGAGATATTTGAGTTTTTCTTTGGATACTGCGTTGCGTCCTTTTCTGGTTTGCTAGGTTAGAGGATCCTGACGCTGAGGAAGTGAAGGAATTTGTACAGAATCAGGTGGAATTGACTGATTCTGTGCTTAAGAAATGTGACACGAGGGAGAAGCTGAGCGACGCAATCACGAAGCTTTTTGATCACCCGAGATATGATACGTTGTTCAGGGAAGGGGACAAGTACTTTTACTTCCATAACACCGGTCTCCAGGCTCATAGTGTGCTTTATATGCTGGTATATATGAGCGAAGGATACGTATTCTTTCTCTATCCATTACAATTTAGTGTTTGTGTACGCATCTTCTCTTGTTGCTTACTTTTGATTCTGTCATTGACTTTGATTGTGTATGAGTTCAGGACGATTTAAATGCTGAACCAGAGGTCTTGCTTGATCCGAATACCCTTAGTGGCGATGGAACAGTGGCCTTAAACACGTTTTCTGTCAGCGAGGATGCTAAGTGGTTGGCTTACGGGCTTAGTTCAAGTGGCAGTGATTGGGTGACGATTAAGGTGATGAGCGTCGAGGATAAGAAAGTTGAGCCTGATATCTTATCATGGGTAGGTTGTTTATGATGATACCGGTTAGGTGGTTGTTGGATTGACCGAGAAGGCTCAAATGACAAGAATGGGATTAGAAAATGATCTTGGCCTTCTTTTGAAACAGGTTAAGTTTAGCGGGATTGCATGGACATACGATAGCAAAGGATTCTTCTACAGTCGGTATCCCGCTCCCAAGTGAGTTGTTCTGATTGGTTTAATAAGCATAGTAATGCCAGAAAGTTCAATGGAAACATTAGGAACTACATGAGAGATCATTGGTTTTGTTTATCTTTTTCTGTTATCAAAGTCGAAATCTTGAGTTTTGATGGTTGTCCCTTTAGCAGAGAGGGAGAAAATATAGATGCCGGGACAGAGACTAATGCTAACCTTTACCATGAATTATATTACCATTTCCTCGGGACGGATCAATCTCAAGATATATTATGCTGGAGAGATCACGACAATCCCAAGTATCTCTTTGGAGCCAATGTCACAGATGATGGAAAGGTAATAAACTTGCAACGATCCTCTCGTGGATTCTTCATGTTTCTTAAAACTGTTTACAGTTCTTGTTTCTTTTGTTAATGTCATTTGAACATCATTCTGATGCTTATTATGATGGTTAATGCCTTTAGGAAACTGCGTTACCTCAGGTTTCTTATGCTGTGGAATTTAATCCCTTTCCGTGTTTTTTTTAAATTTTCGACATTTCAGTACTTGATCATGGACATTGCAGAGGGTTGTGACCCTGTAAACAAAGTATACTACTGTGATCTGTCTTCCATTAAAGGAGGCCTTGAAGGTTTTAGAGGAAGCAATAGTCTCCTTCCATTCGTTAAGCTGATTGACACTTTTGACGCTCAATACAGTGCCATTGCAAATGACGAAACTGTATTCACTTTCTTGACAAACAAAAATGCACCAAAGTACAAACTAGTTCGGGTCGATCTGAAGGAACCGAGCAAGTGGTTTGATGTTATTGGAGAGCACGATAAGGATGTCCTTTCGTCAGCTTGTGCAGTTAACACCAATCAGCTGGTTGTGAGTTACTTGAGTGATGTAAAGCACATTCTGCAGATTAGAGACTTGAAATCCGGGTCCTTGCTTCACCAGTTGCCTCTTGATATTGGCTCGGTATCTGGTGTTTTTGCTCGTCTCAAGGACAGTTCCTTTTTCTTTAGCTTTACCAGTTTCCTTACTCCTGGTGTGATTTACAAGTGCGACTTAGCCACCGAAGCTCCAGAAGTTACCGTATTTCGTGAAATTGCAGTGCCCGACTTTGATAGAGCAGCATTTCAAGTCACTCAGGTAAAAACTCTTCTTCTTAATCATTTTGTTGTGAAGCCATGATTTATCTCCATTGTTAAATTGAAGCTGTTCCTGTTATTGCCCTCTTTCCATTTCCAGGTCTTATAACC